GAAAAGGGGAAATAGAGCTGAGTGTGATCAGCATGCTGCAGACACCAAACCCCGAAACTATAGACAAACTCTCCCAGCAGTTTCATATAATTGTTAAATAGCATGGGAGACAGAACAGAACCCAAGGGGCACCACAGGCCTGCAGCTAATGCGTGGAACTGAGGTCCCCCAACACCAACTTCTGGGTTCACCCCTCCAGGAATGAACAGTCCTATCCCAGCAAAGCGGCCCAGAAGGGTATCAGGGATCTAGCACACATGTGGTACCTCTCACATTTCTCACGTTCACATCCTCAGGAGGCTGTACAAAATGAAAAGTATCCATTAACACTGAACAAGCAGGGGCCAAAGTTATACCCGCCGGGCCTGCTATCAACTATAGCATCCTAAGTCAGAACGGATCTAAGCAATTTCGTAAGCAAAGCGCTAAGCAAAGCTTTTTTTTTATTTTTATTCTGGGAGGCAAACATGCCCCCTTCATTTTCATCCTTGCAACCACCCTGGAGGTAGGCACTAGCCCGGGATCATCCGGCGAACTTCACAGCCACCTCTGGATTATTACTATATTTTACAGTTGTGCAACAGCTTTCAACCCAAAGCATTTTTACATAATGCCCTGTAATGGATGTCTCTGTGAAAGTGTTCTCATGAAAGAGTGAGAAAAGGAAGGATTTAAACCAGGCATAGGCAAACTCCGGCCCTCCAGATGTTTGCGACTACAATTCCCATCATCCCTAGCTAACAGGACCAGTGGCCAGGGATGACGGGAATTGTAGTCCCAAACATCTGGAGGGCCGGAGTTTGCCTATGCCTGATTTAAACCATGGCAACGCGACAAACAGCTGTCCTTAAATAACACTGCCTCAAACGTGGCTCTCCGGCGATGCTGGCAGATAAGCAGAGAGAGCCCAGCTCGGGAAAGGGTGTCTGTGTCCAGCGTCACTCCGGATCTTCTGCCGCCCAAGGCGGTCGCCTCCCCTTGGCTCCTGGGCCGGCCCTCGCACCCCACCCCCCAGAGAGAGAACCTACCTCGCAGTGCGGTGGCGAGGCCTGCCTGGGGGGGCAGGCGGGGCTTGAGGGCTGCGCCAGGCGAAGGCTCCGGGAAGAGGCGGAGCCAAGCGCTGGGTGACCTTCGCCTTCCCCGTCTCCTTCCCTCCCTCCCCGCTCAGCTCAGCTCGGCTCACCGCGTTCCTTGCGCTCCTCGGGGAAGCCGAAGTGGGGGTCGAAGGTGGGCATCTTGACCGGGTCCGGCTCCACCTCCGCGTCCCATAAATACCGCCGAGCCAGATGAGCCCCCATCTTGGCCGCCTCCAAACCGCCTCCTGAGGTTGCTCTTGCTATTTCCCGCCCCGCCTTTCCACCATTCCGGAAGAGGAAGTAAACCCCCCTTTAAAAAAAGGCTTCCGGTAACAAATGCATGCCGCTGTCGCAGAGCTACGAAACGTAGAGAGAAGCATCGTCTCTGATGATGCCATTTCCTGGTTCCGCGTGAGGCGCCATTTTAAAATATTCCTGGGCAGCTGACCTGAAAAATAAATGGAGAAAAACCACACTTTTAAAACGTGGCTGTTGCTGGACACCAGCATGCTGTCCAGTGAATGAATGATGTACCACGAAAGAGGGCGGTTTTATTTCTCTTCTAAACTTATTTCTTGCTAGCGTGTGGAACTTTAAAAAAAAATGGTTTTCCAACATCCGCCTCGCTATTTCAAAATCCCAATGCAGAAAACGCCGCACATTACCGCCATATTGCAGGAATTGCAAGCTGTGGCTTGGAGATAGGAGCCCTCCCAAGTGACTATTGCAAACTGAGGGTTATGCGAAAGTCTAGTTTGCAACAACGGAGTCCAGTGGTTACACTTCTACTGTAGATTGGGAAGTGGTCTGAAGCTAGAATTTCAAGGCATGTGGTGCTGAGGTTTTTTCTTTTTTAATCTTTGTGGCAGACATAGTATGCCCCTCCCCGTGTAAAATGGCGATCCCAAATAAAAAAATAACTGGAGACATATATACCATGTCTACTTTTTTTCTAGCTCTACAGCCATTACAGTGGGAAGAGTAGCCAAAACGCATGCCTCTGCTTTTAACATTTTCAGCTGGGAGTATATTGTGCTGCAAAATGTGGAACTTAACACCTTAGATTTAAAAAAAGTAGTTTTGGAACTGGTAGTCATTTTAACATGTATTATAATTAACTCAGTGCAACTCAGCAAACACCTCACCATGCCATCTATTACTTTTGTCCTCACACTGCAGTAGGGCTGGGAAAGTAGTAAACAATCCTGGAAGTGTAGTTCACTGTTATATTCCCAATGCAGGTTGAAGGATTTTGCTGATAAGAGTACAGTAGCATATAGCAGCTCTCCAATGCAGTCCAATGTTAACATTGTAGGACAGAGGTGAGATTGGAATCCAGTTTGGGATTTGGAGGGGGGGGGGATCCCCAGTGCCTCTCAATTTGCAGCAAAAGTAATTTTACTTTTAACGGGGGGGGGGGCAGACGTCCTCCCAGCAGGTCAATCACTCCATTGCATACTGATGCTTTGTGCTCCATTGCCTTGCATGCAGGCTGGCTGCATTTTTAAATGTTCAAAACATTTTTTTAAATGCATGAAATAAGGCCCAAGTTAGAGTAGGGGCTTATGTCTTGGATGCTAACTTTTCTTTAATCTCCCTCAGCCACAAGCTCTGTATACAGGAGCCCTGCTTGTTTACTCTTAGATAGTGCTACACTAGGAGTTACCAACACAGTACTGGCACGCTCAGTGTCTACTGAGACATTTCCTGATACTCACAGGGTCCCCTCCCCCAGCTGAAATTTGACTTGAATGAATAGATTGAATCAGTAGGCTGAAGGGCTGAAAATTGATTTGAAGGAATCTGTTAGAATAGATTGTTGAGTGTGCTTGGGTGTCTTGTGTACCCATCAGTTCAAAGAGGCTGGTGATCCCTGTAAGCAGTTCTAAAAAAGACTCCAAAAACTCAGATTTTCCCCATTGTGATTTTTAATTTTGACATCAAACTCTGAACATAATGCTCAAAATAAGTGAGACACACTCCTAGATATAGGTTATATAGGACATCAAAGTCTTTAAGGAAGAGTTGATACCTCGGATTAGCATCACAGCTGCTTCAGACATTGTTATAATGCTGCCAGTTATGCACTAGATTAAAAGGACCACTTACATGTCCTTTGGATGACCTATTCTAATGTGGGCTAGAACAAACTCCTGGGACTATCTCCAGGTAGGTGCTTACTTGAGTGATCAATTGGGAGGAGTGCTTCAGCGAGGCTTTGTGGGTGGTTTTGCTATTTTTAGGAATAAGAATTTTGAGTGGAAAGTATTCCACAAATTTGCAGATTAACACAAATTGGATGGGATTTGTGGGGTACAAATTGGAAGATAAGGTTAGAGCCCAATGGCCCAGGAATAAAGTGGGAAAGCACTCACTTAGAAACTGTACTGTTGAAAAGGTCCTGAGGATTATAAACAATGATAAGGAATTCTACATACAATACCACTTTAACACCATGGCTTCCCCCAAAGAATCCTGGGAACTGTAGTTTGTTAAGGGTGAAGAGATTAATTAGGAGTTTCCAGCAAGTTTAACAAACTACAGCTCCCATACTTCTCTGGGGAGTGGTAAATGAGTGCTATGGTGTGGATGTGACCACAAGAACTGCAATTGCTATTATACATTTAGTAAGTCCATCCCTGGTGCTTTTACCCATATGCTAGCAACGTAGCTGGTAGGACACTGAAAAGAACAATAGGTACAATAGGTAGAACAGGGAAAGCTATCTTCTCAGGAAGGGATGATATAAAGCAGACTGAACAGTTTGTTTGTGAAAGACATAAAAAGTAAAGTAAAGGTACCCCTGCCCGTTCGGGCCAGTCTTGCCAGACTCTAGGGTTGTGCGCTCATCTCACTCTATAGGCCGGGAGCCAGCGCTGTCCGCAGACACTTCCGGGTCACGTGGCAAGCGTGAGCTGCATCTGGCGAGCCAGCGCAGCACATGGAACACCGTTTACCTTCCCGCTGGTAAGCGGTCCCTATTTATCTACTTGCACCCTGAGGTGCTTTCGAACTGCTAGGTTGGCAGGCGCTGGGACCGAACGACGGGAGCGCACCCCGCCGCGGGGATTCAAACCGCTGACCATGCGATTGGCAAGTCCTAGGCGCTGAGGCTTTAACCCACAGCGCCACCCGCGTCCCTGTGAAAGACATACCTGCAGACTAAGCCTGTGTTCACACTCCCGTTTATGGTGCACTCACTGCATTTCCAGTGCTAAGTTTATCTGTGTTCATATAACATTATCCAAGTGCTTATGTTTCCTGTACTTTCTTACCAGAGGAGGGATTCACCTAAGGGTCTTGTCCTTGCCCTGTGCAAGGACTTCCATGTGTGTAATGGGGTTTCCCCTCCTCCCCTCATGTGCCCCTCTGATATTGGCTCTGGGAGTTGGGCGAACCCTCAGAACAGCACTCCAATCAGTGTGAAGCTGGTTTAGGAAACAATGCTTCAAACTGTAACAAAGTACAAGATACATATGCATGTTGGATAACATCGTGTTAAAATGGATTTAAAACCCAGCACTGGAAATGAAGTGGGATGGCGAACACATCCTAATGTGTTGTTTCTTAAATCAGCTTCATCCCAGTTGGATGCTTTTAGTCACTCCTAATTCATCTGCAGCCAAGGTGGGAACACCTTTGCATAGTGTTAAGACAACCCTGCTGTGGAACACCCTAACTGAGGGCTTGCAACCATTTTCATTTGATAGGTTAGCCAAGAGTTCCATGTATTTGGACAATGGTTGGAGGTGGCTGTTGCCCAAAGACATCTAGACAACACATGCCACACTAATGATGGTCCCAAACATCCACAAAGCTTTGGTCATTTAGGGAATATCCAGCTATATTTAAGAGATGTGAACTCCTTGAAGCTTGTGTCAAGGATCCCATATAGAAAGATCTCCTTCTTCATTATTATTTTTTTTAGCAATTGCAACCTGTTGGCTTCTCACAGACAAAGTGGACTTTTAAATTACAGTCAATGTCATTCCAATTACCCTCCTTATAAAGGACAGCACAATTTTCCACACCATCATTATTGTTGGGCTCTCCTTGCCTCCAGAACCTGTAACAGAGAAGCACAGTTAGTACAGAATTGTGAAATCACTGCAGAAGAGACTTGCTGAATTATGTGGATGCCTTCTACATTTGTAGGGAACCAAAGTTGGGGACCGCCTGATCACAAATCACACCTTGTTGTGCTCTGGAGAGCAAATATACTGTACAAAGCTGGTCAAAAAGGGAGGGATGACATGGGAGAGTGAAAAAACAGGAGGAGTGGTAATGCCTCAAAGTGGCAGTGAATGATAACCATGTACAGTGGTACCTCGGGTTAAGAACTTAATTCGTTCTGGAGGTCCGTTCTTAACCTGAAACTGCAGCTCTTTCAGACTTCCTTTCGTGCCATATTTCAGCTTCACACTTGAAAGCTCTGTGTCTGAGCAGGGGGCAGGGGTGTCAGTCTCTGGGACAACCCACGTTTTACCTCTGAATTGGGGCAAACGGCAAACTGATAAAAACCCGCTTGCCGTTTGCTCCAATTCAGCGGTAAAATGTGGGTTTCCTCAGGGAAAGCGCCAGAACAAAGAACAAACAAGCAAGACTTTTGGACCCAGAGCTTTATAGCCCAGACCTGTGCCTAGAAACACAGCACAAAAGTCTGGATGAGCCCTGTATCTAGGAAAGCAGCTAGAATAGTTGATTCAGTTGCTTGAGCAGCTCCACTAGATCAAGTCAAGGGAATGAATCCTATGGAAGGAGCGTAACAGAAAGAAAGTTTCTTTCCTCTCCATCCTTCTGCCTCCCAGAAAAGCTGCTCCAGAGTAATAAACAATGTGGGATGTTGCTCTGGCCAGGGTTATGCAATCCTCTCTTCCCACAACAGTCCCCTGAGCTGCATTCCACATTGTTATTCCCCCGCCCCACACCCCATGAACCCCCTTGAGAAGCTTTCAGGGGTCTTTTCCCTGTAAGGGGTCCAGAAAGAAGAGCTAGGTATCATCCACATACCTTTCTGTTGGTGCTGTTCCATCAACCCACTGCCACACTCCCTCGTTCACTGCATCACTTATGCCAATCCAGACCGAGGTGAGCTTTATTTTTGTAATCACAAAATTCTAGGGAGAAAAACATGTAGCACCTTCACAAATGCTGTAGCACATGAAATCCATAGTCTGCCTAGCTGCAATATGTTGCTGTGATAAAAATGCATTCAGGAGATTGGCCTGAATGATTGCTCAAGAATTCCGCCACCCCAATCCTGTGATTTGCTTGCACACATGGAGATTAGGCTATGTCTAGTCTTTATTCAGCATTTATTCTGGTTTGTATGGCCTACACATTCTCTTTGAGAACTACAAAAGCCTGTTTTTTCTTGCACTAGGGTGGATTTGTTGCACTAGGGTGACAAAGGACTTTAATCAACCTTAATGGTGCACACCTAAATTTCTGGTGTATACTTGAATCTCTCCCACAAAATAGGGACCATCTGGAGGCACCCTGAATGGCTGGCCTTTTGCTTCCATTTCTGCTCCCTGCAGAGGATGATGCTATCAATTTGTGGGTGGGTAGGGGAGAGAAACATCTATGTGGTCTTAGGCTACTTGGAGGGAAGGTGGGATATAAACAGATAGCAGTAAACAGATAGTGTCAGGAGTGCATGCAGGAGCCAGGCCCTGTGACCAGTAGGGCTTCACAAGACTGGGGCCTTCCTAAGTTTGTTCTGGAGAGGCAAGGTGCGGCCACACAGGTGAGGCCGCTTGGTAACTCACTGCACCTGGTCGCAAGAGCCAGGAAGGGATATAAGGTCAGCACTTCCCTTTGGCTCTTTGCCACAGCAACTTGGTTCCTGCCTTGCTGCGTTCGGCTTCTTGCTTCCTGATCCTCGGACCTCAGCTTCTTGACTCCTTGTTTCCTGATCCTCAGACCTCAGCTTCTTGACTCCTTGCTTCTCAACCCTCAGACCCTTGACTTTGTGACTCCCTGCTTCCTGACCCTTGGACCCCTGGCTTCTGGACTCTTGTTCCTGCTCCCACCCCGCCATCTTGCCCCCCGGCCCCAACATCCTCTAGCAGGACTTTGACCCATAGACTGGACCGTGACAGACAGAATAAGTGCAAGACCTGTAAAACCTGCCCACTCAGAACTGATATGTGTGACAATACGTTAGCTGATTTTAAAAATTAAAAATGAATTACCAGAGTGGTGATGTATTTGCTTAGGTTTCCCTATCCTCTTGTCTACCCATATATTGCCTAGGTCCAGGAAAGCAACAGCTAGGAACTGGAAGCTGCTTGAATTCTTAGGAAAATCTGGTTTGGATAGAGTATAACTACAGGGCCAAGCAAAAGACAGTTTTATGAATGAACAGAGCAAATGTGCCTTACGACCAAAGGTGCTGCTCAGACCTGCTCATGCTTGCTGTTAATAATGACCAGGTGGGAACTGATAGTAATGCAGAATTTTCTGGCATCTTCCCATTGTTTTTCGTCTTCTGAGTAGTAGTAGCAACTTCCTAGAAACTCATGCCAGGATAAAGGGTCAGTCCTCCTGCAGATTTCTGAAAGAGGGAAAAGTTTTATATGGAAACTATCAATAATAATAGTGGCAGTAAAGGGAAGATTGATTAACTGGAGTGCAAGCTGAACTGTAGCAGAACAGAAACAGTTCTGATTGCAACAAAGATAGGATGTCTCTTTATACATCGCTATTTGGGATTAGAACCACTAAGATGGCAAGACACATCTCAGGGTTAGGAATTGTCATAATGTGGTCTAAAACATGGAGGTTGGGATGTTCCCCCCTCTACTATCCCTGCATAGAGCCCCAGTTTGTCAAATAGATTTGACCAGAGGTTTCTGTGGATAAATTCTGTTCAGTGATGCTTTTTGCTTTTCTATATCAGTTGCTTACATCTTGTTCCTCTCGCACATACCTCTATTTTCCAATGCATTTATTTTTCCATCCAATTTAGATATTTGTTCCTCCACTTTTCTATCAGTTGCTTCACTCCTCTTGTAATTACGTTCTTCTAAAGCTTTAAGTTCTTTCAGAAAAGCGGTCTTCAATTTGTCAGCTGTTAGAGGGATGATTGAAACATCACAGCTGGTATTCAGCTTCCGAAGCTCAGAGAAGATGGCGGCATCTAGAAGGGCAAGAGATGGGCATCATTGCATGAGCCACCCTGGAGCCCCACCCCATTGTTGCTGTTCCCTCCAGAGGCAGGTCTTCAGTCAGACATTTTATGGGGAAGGAACCTAAGTATACAGGGAAGGGATCGCTACAGAACAACAGGAATGCAAAGCCAGTATGTGTAAAGTTATTTAACATTACAGTGGTACCTCGGGTTACGAGCTTAATTCATTCCTGAGGTCCGTTCTTAATCTGAAACCATTCTTAACCTGAGGTCCCACTTTAGCTAATGGGGCCTCCCGCTGCCACCGCGCAATTTCTGTTCTCATCCTGGGGCAAAGTTCTTAAACTGAGGTACTACTTCCGGGTTAGCGGAGTTTGTAACCCAAAGTGTTTGTAACCTGAGGTGTTTGTAACCTGAGGTACCGCTGTATTAAATATCAATAAAATGAAATGTAATTTCATATTTTAGAGACAGAAAAATATGGGTCAGTTATCCCAGTGACTTTGCATTCACAGGCCAGTTTACGTCTTCCCAGTTCACTTCTTCCTGAACATTTAAGTAGCATACTGCATGCATGGCCTTCCTTATAACTTCTGTAGTAAAAATACTAGATGCTTCTTTTCAAATGAAAGCTAAATATTCAAGGTGGGGAGCTAGAATATATGTGAAGAGCCCTGCCCTGCCCATGCAGCTCACCCTATAGCCACAGCCTGTGACAGAATACAGGGGATTCAGTCAGGAATTCCCCATTTCCCTCTGTTGGTCACACTCTCTGACTTGGGAGTGGGACTGCTGGGTTCTGTGAGGCACAGAGCTCCTCCAATGGTACTGTGACTGGCCTTGCACTTACCAAGGCTCAGCCAAAGGGACTGACCTACCCCCCTCCCCACAACTTTCCAGTGTAATTACTGAGATCTGAAACTTGCGAAGATGACAGTCTTGGGAGATGCCAGCCAAACCACAGAGAGACATGAAGCTCATTTGTTTGTACGCAGCCCTTCCTTGCCTTCCTTGCTGCAGCACCACGGTACACCATATACGTGTACATATAAATCTTCTTTCCCTTTTGAGTCCCAGTCCCTCACTGCTTTTATCTCTTGAAGCTGGGGTGCTCCACAGTGTGTCTTGACACACATGAACACCCCTCCTACTTCTTGCACTCACGCTGTACAAGGAGAATGATGCCGATCAGGAGACCCACAAGAGCCAGGAGCAGAACCAGGCAGTTTCTCCAACAGCCTTTCCATTGGGCTGGAGTTAAGGTCCATCGGGCTAGAGTTAAGGTGCATTGAGCTGTGGCTGGGTGGAGAGAGAGAAAGAGGGAGGGAGAGATTTGAAACAGCTCAGAATGGCAACTTCAGGAAAAAAGAGAAACCAATAGCAAGCAGGTTGCTGCTGCCATGGTTGGCATTGCCAGTGTAAGGGTGCCACAAAGGCATTCAGGATAGCATGTTGGAACTGTGGAGAAGCTGGGGTAATTGTAAGGGTGATATAAGCTATGCTGTGGATACAAAAAAGGCATGGCCTGAGTGATTGTCTGCAATATGTTAGCTAGTAGGGTTGCCATACGTCTGGAATTTCACACAGACATATCTGGAATACTGCAACCGGAAGCAGTGTCCCGGTGGAAATCAGCAAAATGTCTAGGAAAATCCAGAAGTATGGCAACCCATGTCAGCAGTGTTGTCATATTTATTTGCAATTTTGCAAAAAAAGAAGTTAGTGTCCGAATTTTCACTTTTTGAAATATGGCAGCCCTATTAACCATGGCTTATAAACTATGGTTAGCTATAATTAACAAGGCCACCGTTACAAGGCCACAGTGTACGCATAGCTGCCATCCCAGTCTTCCCTTATGCATAATAGCCAACAGAGGGCAGCAACACTGAAGCAAGCAAGGGTCCCTTCTTCTCATACCTGGTGGTTCAGGCAGTGCCTTTGGCTCCTCCATTTCCTGAGGCACCGAGATGCTGTCATAGTCGCTCTCTTTGTCAAAGTCTTCATATTCGTCTAGACAGGGGGGTGGACAGAGTTAACTTTTGGAATGTACCAATACGGATATCAACGGGAGCTGGTACGCTCCTCTTCCCAGTTGTAGCAGGTGAGCTCTGCTTCCCACAATCTTTTTTTTTTTTTTTTTTTTTGCTGCTCTTGAATCTGAGTCCATGCCTATTTCTTCTTCGCCCCTCCACCCATGCTTCAGAAGGTGGGCTGTTGCTTCCCCCCACCCCAAAACACATCCCAAGTTTATCTAATTAACTTTAGTCCAGCACCTTATGCTTTAAAGCAAACCTCAACTGTCCATTTGCTAAGCTTGAGACGCTTCTATCCCAGAAGGCATGGGTGGGTGGAAGGAGTAACTTCATAATACATAGCACCTCCCTTGCTCCCCTGCTGACCATATTTTAGCAAAAAAAAATACCTTCTACAATTCCAGTTTTCCTTACGGGTTGTTGGGGCAGGGGACGGCAAGACCCATACAGCTGGAGATCTTCTCCTCTGCTTGATACTCCTGTGTCATCATACATGGTCTACACTGAAGAAAGTGAGATGCTCACTTGAAATACAAATCTTCCTCCTGCTCTCAGGTTTCATTTCATCTATTTTCTTTGGTTTCTCTTCCTTTTAAAATGGTTTGTGGCAGATTCAACATCTTGGTATATAAGGGAACATCAGCTGTGTTTGGGTTACACCTGAGCAAAATTAGTGAGAGTTAATTTTCTATTTTTATTAATAAACATACTTCTATAAATATTGAAACATAGAACCTAAGATAAGCAATAGCAGTCCATTAACATTTATTTTATTTATTGTAATTTTATTTATGATAATAAAAAACAACAGTGACTAAACAATACATAGTTCTCCATGAAGTGTAGGAGTAGAAAGCAATCTAGGCCACATTCACACCACACATTTAAAGTACTTTTATGCCACTTTAAACAGTCATGGCTTCTTCCCCCAAAGAATTCTGGGAGTTGTTTGTTAAAGGTGCTAAGGGTTGTTAGTAAATCTCTATTTGCCTTCCAGAGCTACAGTTCCCGGAGTTCCCTGCAAAGAGGCAGTGATTGTTAAGCCACTGTGAGAACTGTAGCCCTAGGAGAGGAAGAGGGGTCTTAACAAACCAGAGCTCTCAAGAGTCTTTGGGGGAAGCCATGACTGGTTTGACTTCACCCCTGAAGGTACACTTTTCCATTGCGCCCCGAGACAGACGGGTGCCAATCAACCAACTATGCTTTAAATGTATGATGTGAACGCCACTCAAGAGTCACATTTCATCCTGTGGCTTCCTGAACAGGAAGTTGCATAGCCAGCTTTTCAGTTCATCAAGTTCTTCCCAAATTATTTCTGAGTTCCTTGTGGTTTAAAAAAGTACAGGCCTTTATTAATAAACGTAAAAAAGGGAAACCACTCTTCTTCAAACATACCATGCCTAATTATTCCCCATGATATTCTTGCAGAAAAGCTGGTAAAATGTGGACTGGACAAGGTAACTTAGGTGGATTTGTAGCTGGTTGACTGAATGAATCCAAAAAGTGCTCATTAATGGTTCCTCGTCATCATTTATAAATGACTTGGATGAAAGAATTGAAGGGATGCTCATCAAATTTGCAGATGACATCAAACTGGGAGGACAAAATTGGGATTCAAGATGACCTTAACAGATTGGCGAACTGGTCCCTTACAAGATGAATTTCAACAGGGACAAATGTAAGGTTCTGCACTTAGGCAGGAAGAACCAGCAGCACAAATATAAGATGTGGGACACCTGTGAAAAGGATCTAGGGGTCTTAGTAGACCACAAGCTCAACGTAAGTCAACAGTGTGATGCAGCAGTAAAAAAAAAAAAGCTGCGGTAATGCTGTTCCAGGCTGCATCAACAGAAGTAGAGTGTCCAGATCAAGGGAAGTAAGAGTACTGCTTTATTTTGCTTTCTTCAGACCGCACCTGGAATACTGTGTCCAGGTTTGCCTCTGCAGCATTGACCTTCTCTCCTGCTCCCATTGTTGCCTAAAATTTTTGGCTCATCTTGATCAGAGTTTACAAAGCTGCTCATCTTCAGGGATGGGTGGGGTTGCGCACAGGCCTTGCGCTTCCTGCCCTAAGCAGTGTCTAGGCCCCGTGTCACAGGGGAGTCCCGGCATGTGTCATGTCTGCAGCAGGCCAATCTGGCTGGCTGGGTGCGTGGCTTGTCGCATTTAAGCGGCTGCACAGCCGGGAGCTCCTTCTTGTGCTTTGGACCTTGGTTGGGTGCCGTTGAGGGCCTGGTAGGACTTTTTCCACTTGGCAAACTGGCACCAGCCACTTGGTTTTCACCTACCTTGTAGCAAATCATCACAACTTTGTAAGATTTGGCGGTTAGGCACTGGAAAAGCTTGGTTTACGAGAGGGGAGGTTGTGGCTATCACCTGCCCCTCCCCTTTAAGGGTGTTCCGTTAAAGGAATCCTGGGGTCATGGTTCCTGTCCAAAGCCTGGGTGGTGGCTAGGGCCGTGGCATGACCTTTCCAGTGACCCCGGGGGAGCTCTGAGGTGATGTACATCAACAGGGTTCCCCCTACAGGTAGTTAACCCTTGTGAGAGTTCCTGCATGGCAGGCAGGAGTCAGATATAGTCGTTTTGAGTCCAGTGCCTAAAGCCAATACCACTCACATTCTGTAACCAATAAAAGTTGTGGCCTTTTTTGCCCATTAACCTAAAATACTGGTGTCCACATGTTTTTATTCATCAAAGGAGGGGGTGCGAGGCCTTGATGTGCAACTAACTTCATAGCTTCCTTCTTTCCACTCCAAGAAAACTTTACCTCAGCTATCAGGATCTCAACTGCACCTTCCATAAGCACCTTCTAGGTTTGTTGTTTGGAAGGGATAATCTCTGAGACTAGTATACTGTATCTAGTGTGGTCCAGTACATGCTGTTCATTAAAAGCTCCTCACTTAGCTCAGAGTCAAGGGTTTTAACTTTCTCAAACCTCACTTTACAGAGTTTAATCTTTTGTGAGGGCCCTGAGGAGGCCTCTCCAGCTGTCACCGAGGCTTCAGCACAAAGATGCTGGAGGTGACCTAGATTTCCACACTTGCCCCCATTCACCTAATATACTTACCCACACATCTAACACCATACATACTATCATATGCTTACTCCCATTTTTATACATTATCATTTACATATTCATCAGCACATCACAGGTGTGAGCGTGTTATCTTGCACATCAGATCTGATGTGCTTGCACTGATGGAACAATCAGAAGATTCCAGCATTGAATTACTCGCAATGTTTCCCATCCACATTAGTGGATGGGATTTGATGGGACTTCACAACCTCCATGCGGATGTCTCAGTACATCAGCAGTTCAACACATGTAATCAGGGATCCCTTTTCCCTGATCTTCACCTCAGAGTGGACTGGTAATATTCCATTGATAGGTGGATTCACTGTGAGTTCGTTCTCACAGATGAACCATTCCCTGATGAGGTTTGGGCTGGATATAGCTACTCCCCTCTGCAAGAGTAGGGAACCCTTCAGTTGGTCCGTCTTTGGAGACTGATGGAATCTGATGCTCTGGGAAATTTCTCTGCTGAAACATAGTCACTGACATGATCACCCCTGAGTGTCCTTGCTGTCATTACAAAGCATATAGATTGCTTTGGTATTCCAGTGCCCTGTGTGTGTTAAAGGTCTCACCTCATCTTTAAAAACAGTATCTTTAAAAACAATGGCAAAAATAGGGTTGCCATAAGTCCAGAATTTCCCGGACATATAAAAATTAAAAATAACCCAATAACTTCCCCCAAAGCCACATTTTAAAAGGGCATAGGATGTCAATCAAGTCAACCAAAGGCCTCGTTAAAAAGGAACATTTTTGCCTGGAGCCTAAAAGTGTATAATGGCAAACTTTCCTGGGGCCATTTCTTCATAAAAATAGCTCAAAAATGGCATATTTTTTGGGGTGATTTTGCCCAAAGAAGCTTAACAACTTTTCTCTCTGGATTTTCACTGTTTGAAATATGGCAACCCGCAAAAAGAACCATCACAAAAAGGTGTGTGCATGGAGGGGAACTATCTCTCTGTTTAATTTGAGCACAAATGTTACTGCTCTGTTATTTTTAAAATGTGAGCTAAATTTGCATGTGCACCAGTGAAATGGAAGGCCTCTCCCAACTCTCTTAAAAACGTTGTCTATCTCCAGCCCAGGAAATGGAATGCTGACATGAACAGAAGAGCAAAAAGAGAAGTTGTGGTGTCGTGATTCAGGATATCACAGATGGAGTCCTGCTGTGTCATCTCCTCAGGGCTAACCAAAACTAATGCTGCTTTTCTTTTGCTTTAAATAAAATTTCCACCCTGCCCTTCCATATCAAAAATCCCAGAGCAGCTACTAATGAAGGAAGAATACAAACCATAAAATCAATAAAATGTACTTTGAAATAACAAGAACAGAACAATGAAATTTGACACCACAGATTTAAATCTAAAAGGCCTAGCGCAGACATCTTCAACCGGTTGACTGTGATCGGCAGGTAGATCGCTTGGGTGCTCCAGGTTGATCACGGGATTACAAACAGTGATCGCCTGTGTGCTCCTGATCTTTTGCGCCCCACCCCACCCCGCCCCCAGCACTATGTCCCATCGCCGCCACCTCAGTGAAAGCTTGTATTCCCTGCCTTGGCGGCATAGTTTTGAAAGGAGAGTTCTACCACAGAGCTTAAGGCACCATACAAGTTGCTTGCAGGCAGTTATGCATCCAGGAACTGACCAGACCCAGACCTTCTTGGCGGCTTTAGCAAAGTGGTGGTCTCATGTGCCTTCAGGCTATACCATGGGGCACTGGCTTCTTTGTGCAACTCCCTAGGGAAACCTTTGCAAACCTTTTACTGAAGAGATTCCTCTATCCTAGGACTACCTGTGTCATAAGAAGTTAGATGTGCTCAGAGGCAAGTCTCTAAAGAAACATTAGACAGATCATTAAGGCATTTGTCATAGAGAAGCAGTTGAGGGTGCTTACCCTTTCCTCATCAGCCACTGGCTGTTCCAATTCCAGTGGCTTTCATTTATGTGGTTTCCAAATGGAACTCACATTTTGAAGGCTAGAGGAGGAACAGCCACTGCTGAGGTGATCTGAAAAGCAGCAGGAGGAAAAGATTTGAGCACCCTTAGTGCTTCTCCACTCTGAATTCCCTTCTTCCAAAGTTGTTTTTCTTTAAACGAAACAAACCAAGGAATGAACACGAACATACATTTGTGTGTAATGTGTAGGTGAGGCTTCAAAGTTGTTCAGATCCATGCTTTTCTGTCTAGAGGCAGGAAGCGAAGAAAGTATCAGACTCAAGTCTGTGTCAGACTTTTCTAAAGAATTAAAATGCCTTTTATTAAGAAATCTGAGAGGCGCATACATTTTTGGCAAACAGCCTGCCCACATTCGTTTCACAACCTCTTTTCCTCCAAATCCCTCTTTGACAACAGTGACTCACACGACACCAGTGGAATCTTTGGAGAATAAAACGTGTCCTGACGAGCTTCACCGTCACC